CTCCTCTCTCTCTCTCTCTCTCTCTCTCTCTTTCTCTCTCTACAGGTTATATCAAATTTTTCTGCTACTACAGAGCCTTTATTTCATGTGGAATCTTGGGCACATTTTCCAAAAGAGAGGGACCGGCTGTTTAAACTGATTGTGAATAGCAATGTGAGTTGTGCACATTCTCTTACTTTTTCCCTTATTGAGATCCTGCTTCAAATAAGGCTTAATGTAAAGTTTTATAATAATTTATATTTGCTTTTTTTGCCTATATAGAGAAATGGGGTCTTCTTCATCAGTGGGGATGTCCATTTTGGAGAGATCACACGCTATGACTGTGGAAATAGATATCCACTTTATGACATAACCTCAAGTGGTCTCACTCAAGCAGTAGAGAAAGCAGTTCCATCTCCACTTGCTTTTCTGATCAGAGTTGCAGCTTGGTTGAGCCCAAGTACCATGAGAGTTTTCAATAAAGAATGCCGATATAGATCATGTGTATATGGTAATAAATTACTTTAAAAGAAACAGTTAAATGTTCATTTACATTGTTAATATTGTTGCATATAAACCTCTATGACTGAGAATGACAATGTGGTCATGGCTGTTGATGTTACTAATGGAGGGCTGATCTAATTTTCTGCATGTTTGGCATTTCTCGTGCATCCTTGCTCTAATTGTAATCTCTTAAATTATGCAAAAATGTACCATAATCAATTTTAGACCATGGAAAATTTCAGTAACATAGAGATCAAATGTCCAATATAACACTGGATGGCAATGGAGCAAGTGGAACTCCAATGGTGGTTCCCTCTCCTGATCACCACCCACTTCATTGGACAGTGGCGCCTCTAGCCGACTGTATCCTCCATTTCTATCGTTTCATTAGTTTATATGGTTAAAAATGTGAGAAGATACTCAACTTTATTTTTTTAATTATGACTAGTATATTTTTGAAAACCTTTTTTTTGTTTTTCGTTTCATTAAGTTTTTGTAGACAATCATGAGATTGTAATTATGCAGGAAAACCAAATTTCGGGACGATTGAGATGGACTGGGATGCCAACCCAGTGTCCATAAAGTTTTCAGTTAGGGATATGAATGGAGAGCCTGTCACCAGCGTAAATGTATCATTATCAGAGTTGCAAGCAGGAAACATGCACGATAGTGGTACACCATCAGTTGCCATTAGAGGGCAAAAGCACTGTTTGCTCGAAGTGGATCTCCCATGGATCATTAGGCACCGTTTAGCTATTTTCTTCTTTGGTACTTTGACTGGTAAGCGATTTGCCTGCTGGCATTTCTCTTTCTAGAATTAAGCTCATTTCTAAAATGGGAGTGTTTCTGCTTTGTATGACTCTTTGGCATTCTTTTTCATTCTCCTGCGGCTTCTGTTCTTGAAACTTACCTTGTGTCAATTCAAATCAATGGTACTGTCCTCTTGATCACCGATGGTGGTTCTCTCCCCCTCTAGGATTAAAGGCATTTCTAAAGTGAGAGTGCTTCTGCTCCATTCTCTTATTGCTTCTGTTCTTCCAGGCATTCTGCTCCATTCTCTTATTGCTTCTGTTCTTGAAACTTCACCTAATTTTCATTTGAATAAATGGCACTTTTTCTTTCTGTCGATCAGCTCCATTGGTCCCCTCTCTCTCTCTAGAATATAGGCCATTTCTCTAATGAGAGTGAGTTTCTGCGTTGTATGACTTTTGGGCATTCTATTCCATGCTCTTATTGCTTTGATTCTTGAAACTTCACCTGATGTTTACTCAAATTATGGCACTTCCCAGATCTATGTGCTCTGGGATATAGGCCTGGAGTGTGAGGAAATGATTACAATGTTCTTAAAAAGACTCGTGTCCCAATTTCTCTCTCTCTCTCTCTTGCATATGGCTTCACATGCTTGAGGCATTTAACACTAAGGTCTTGTAATTTGCTCTTTCATCATCAATCACTCTGGCTAACTTTTGATGCTTCTTTCTCTTACCTTATCTGCAGTTTTGGTTCTGGCAATGGTTCTCATGACTGTTGCTGCTTTATCTGTTGCCAACTTTTGCATTCACAAATTCAAGCTTGACTGACGAAGCCAATTGTTATCGGATAATGTCATGGACAAACAAGGTCCATGGATTATTCATCTGTGATGGGAACACCTTCTCGCTCTATTTCACCAACACAGTAAGAAGTAAGCACCTTCAATGACCTGAATTTAATGTTTAAAACTTTAACGCTTCTGTTGATTTGGTACTTTCTCAGACTTGCTTTGGTTGTATTGTTCAGAAATTTGTTCAGAAATTTGAAAGCTTCAAAGCAGAAGGTCTTTCTCTAAAGAGTAAATTTTGCTTCTCTATATGTTGTATCAAATATCAAATGCTGAGCCCAGATTTCAGAAGAATTGCAAGTTTAACAGGTAAATGGAATTTACTCACTCACATTTGCCTCTCTCTCTCTCTCT